GACGACGCGACAGGGTGAATATGTAGTAACCTTGACCGATGCTAGATATAACAGATATAAGTAAGACGTTACAACTACGGATCCATATCCGTATCAAGATTATCGCTCTATAGATGTCACCAATCAGAATACTCCTATCTTAATACTTTTGCAAAACAATATCACGTTGTCATCCGATTTCGTTCTCGAAAGCGATGTTCCTCTTCATCGCCAACCATATTCGATAATACAATTCACGAACGTAACAAGACTATTAAATTACGAATTTCTGATGTTTGCTGTTTGCTCTATATGTGATATCGCTAGAAAGTTTCGATCAACACGTTCGCACGCGTCTTGTTTTGTTCGCCTTACAAAATACTCGGGTATCCCAATAGCGAATTAATCTAATGGCCCATCGCACAAACATCGCTAAATCAGAGATTTCAGTTCATTTCATTTCATTTCACTTTATTTCATTTATTTCATTTCATTTCATTTCATTTTATTTCATTTTATTTCATTTCATTTCATTTCATTTCATTTTATTTTATTTCATTTCATTTCATTTCATTTCATCTCATTTCATTTCCTTTCGTTTGGTTTCGTTTTATTCTAAAATTAACACGAATAATATTACGACATCGATTGCACTCGCGTATTGAATTTTTCAAATCACTTTTCTATTACAAGATCAAGCGTATTGACCAAGGATGCGCATCGCGATATATGTATTAATAATCCTGTACGATGCGAATCTTCCGTTTTCCTTTCGCTACCTTTCATTTTGTGGACAAGATCTAACAATTTTTCTTTGTTTTTGACGTGTGTTTAATTGACATGTACATATATACTTTAACTGAAACGTACATATATATGCATATACATATATATATATATATACATATACATGTATATAGGTACAAATATATATTTGAACACTCGTTACGTCACGAAAGATGCGAAAGATACGAAAAAAGAATGTAAAAAATGAATGGAACAACGGAAAGGATGAAATAGGGAGAAAATAGGAGAGAGGAAGAGATGGAATTATAAAATACTCACCAAAACAGAGGAGGAAGCTATCCCCTGTCTCGTTGGTATCGGAAAGGCACGCTACTTAACAAACGATTGTTTAGACGAACGAAATTGATATCCGTTGATATTCATTTTACGCGTTTACGTTCACTAATGGACACCATCCGTTTCAAATTTTTTGCGTTGGTCAACGATAACGATAATGTCGTTGTTCTTCTCCCTCGACAATCATCGCCAAGCAGAGCTCCTACGTGTATACTTTACATACGCGTATAATGAAAAATCGCCGTCCACGAAACCGAGACTGACAAAATGATAAACTAATAGGAATCACGGAGATCTTCGCAAATCGAATTCTCAGACAAGATCAAAAGAGAATAAAAAGAATCAAAAGTGTAAGGAAACAGTTCACGTGGAACCGGCAAACGAGATTAACAAACCAAGCAAAGGACGCAAAAATGGACGGTACAATATCCATTGGAAACAGAAAAGGGAGACATGGAATTACGAGCAAGAGTTCGACGAAGGGAAAGGAGCGCTCAAATAACGATGGAAGGTAGCTCCTCGGAAAGAAGGGAGACCTTGTAGATCAAGCCAGATTAAATCGAATCGGGAAAATGAAAGGAAAAATAGGGAAAGAAAGAAAGGGAGGAAGGAATGGAGAGGCTGGGAAGGAGGGAAGTATTGAAATAAAAAGGAAAAGATAAATGGAGGAAAAAAAGGAAGGCGAAAGAAAAAGCGCAGTGGACTAAACTGATTAGGATAACGGAGAAACGATGAGGACGAAACGAAAGAATTTACCGATTAGAGAAATGTTTAAAAAGCGAGGAGAAGATTAAGATAGGAGGAAAGCAGCAACCGCGTGACAGGCAGCGTCGCGACGCACTGCTGCTCCGCGGCTGCTACTTCCCACCTCACCGCCGC